AGAAAGTTACTATGGTGACACAGAAGATCAAAACACAAATTCCGAAAAAGACAACGAAGTCAAAATGACTATCCAAAGCCTCAAAGAAAAATGTGAGTTGTGGTATATGAATGTAATGGAATACTATTGTGCTATATGAAATGATGAGCAGGCAGACTTCAGAAATACCCTGGAAAGACATGTATGAACTGATGCTGAGTGAAGTGAGCAGAACCAGGAGAACATTGTACACAGTAACAGCCACATTGTATGATGACTAACGTTGATAGAATTAGCCCTTCTCAGCAATGCAAGGATCTAAGACATCTCTAAAGGTCTCATGATGGAAAATGCTATCCACATCCAAAGAAAGAACTATGGAGTTTGAATGCAGATTGTAGCATACTATTTGCTATTTTTTTCCTTCTGTTTTGTTTTGTTTCCTCTTTCTGGTTTTTGCTCCTATTGGTTCTAATTTTTCCTTACAACATCGCTAATGTGAAAATATGTTTAATAGGAATGTATATGTATAGCCTATATCAGATTGCATGCTGTCTTGGGGAGGGAGGGGGAGAAAAATTTAAAATTCAAAAGCTTATGGAAGTTATTGTTGATTAATCAAAACAAAATAAGAAAAAAAAATTTAAAAAAAAGAAAAATGTGAATTGGTCTCAGTCCAAAAACAATTCTTGGAAGAGCTCAAAAAGGATTTTCAAAATCAAATAAGACAGGTAGAGGAAAAACTGGGAAAAAGAAATGAGAGTGATGCAAGAAAATAATGGAAAAAAAAAGAGTCAACAGCTTGGTAAAGGAGGCACAAAAAACACTGAAGAAAATAACACCTTAAAAAACAGAATAGGCCATATGGTAAAAGAGGCACAAAAAATCCACTGAAGAAAAGAATGCCTTAAAAAGAAAAAAAAAATTGCCATGTGGAAAAAGAGGTACAAAAAATTGCTGAAGAAAAGAATTCCTTAAAAAGCAGAATTAGTCAAATGGAAAGGAGGTACAAAAGCTTACTGAAGAAAATAATTATTTGAAAAATAGAATAGGCAAGTAGAAACTAATGACTCCATGAGACATCAAGAAACAATAAAACAAAATTTTAAAAAATTGAAAAATAGAAGAAAACATGAAATGTTTCATTGGAAAAACAACTGACTTGGAAAATAGATCCAGGAGAGATCATTTAAGAATTACTGAACTACCTGAAAGCCATGATAAAAAAAAAAAGAGTCTAGGCATAATCTTTCAAGAAATTATCAAGGAAAACTGCCCTGATATTCTAGAAACAGGGGGTAAAATAGAAATTGAAAAAACCTACCAGTCACCCCCTGAAAGATATCCCAAAATGAAAAATTCTAGCAAATACTATAGCCAAATTCCAGAGCTCCCAGGTCAAGGAGAAAATATTGTAAACAGCTGGAAAGAAACAATTCAAATGTTGGGGAGGCACAGTCAGGATAACACAAGATTTAGCAACTTCTACATTAAAGAATCAAATATCTTAGAATATGATATTACGGAGGGCAAAGGAGCTAGGAATACAACCAAGAATCACCTAACCAGCAAAACTGAGTATAATCCTTCAGGGGGAAAATAGATATTCAATGAAATAGAGGACTTTCAAGCACTCCTGATGAAAAGACTAGAGCTGAATAGAAAATCTGACTTTCAAATACAAGACTCAAGAGAAGCATGAAAGGGTAAACAGAAAAGAGAAATCATAAGGGTTTCAATAAAGTTAAACTGTTTATATTCCTACAAGGGAAAATGACACATGTGACTCCTAAGAACTTTCTCATTATTAGGGCAGTTAGAAGGAATATACATAGATGGAGGATGTGGGTGTGAGTTGAGTATGATGGAATGATACCTAAAAAAAAAAAAATTAAGGAATAAGAGGAATGCGGTGGAGCCAAGATGGCAGAGGGAAAGCAGTGACTTGTTTGAGTTCCCCCCCAAAACTCTTCCAAATACCTATAAAAAATGGCTCTAAACAAATTCTAAAGCAGCAGAACCACAAAAAGACAGAGTGAAACAAATTTCCAGCCAAAGACAGCCTGGATGATTGATCAGAAAGGTATATCGCTCCAGGCTGGGAGAGGAGCACAGCTCAGTGTGGGCGCACAGGCCGCAGCGACCCTGGAGCAGGCCTCAGAGAACTGAATCATGGGCAGCTGTGTGGTTTCCAGACTTCTCAACCCACAAACGCCAAAGACAACTTAGAATGACAGTGGGAAAAGTCTGTGACTGTGGTGAGAGAAGGAGCTAGGTCTCAGCTGCTCTGGGGCCGTGGATGTTTCCTGAGCTTCTGGCAAACATACTGAGGGGGAATCAAGTGGCTGATCAGAGGGGGATCGTAGGGTTCTCTTTGCCAGTGCTGAGGCAGGAATCTCTTGCTTTACCAGTGCTTGGATCTGGGTCACAGTTCTGAGGGGCAGTCCTGGGGCAAGGAGAAATGCTAGTGTGGTGAAGCTTGTTGTAGCAGTGGAGAGAAAACACCTCGCCCCTTATCATAGCACCTTGGAAGAACTGAAAATTTTCAGGTCCCTAGAAGTATCTCTGAAAACAGCTGGACAAACCCCTGAAGCTTGGGACAGTACATTCTCCACATTGGAAGCAGACTTTTACCTTAACAAAGAGTTTAAAACTCAGGTAATTGGCCGGGATCACGAGTAAGCAGTGCAAAGAGTCAGATGATATTTTCTTACTTTGGTGACAAAGAACATCAAAACATACAACCTGAAGAAGACAACAAAGCCAAAGCTCCTACATTCAAAGTCTCCAAGAAGAATATGAATCGGTCCCAGGCCTTGGAAGACCTCAAAAGGGATTTTGAGAAGCAAGTAAGAGAAGTAGAGGAAAAACTGAGAGTTTTACAAGAAAATCATGAAAAACAAGTCAACAGTTTGCTAAAGGAGACCCAAAAAAATACTGAAGAAAATAACACCTTAAAAAATAGCCTAGAGGCAGCTAGGTGGCACAGTAGACAGAGCACTGGCCCTGAAGTCAGGAGGATCTAAGTTCAAATCCGACCTCAGACTAAACGCTTGACACTTACTAGCTGTGTGACCCTGGGCAAGTCACTTAACCCCAATTGCCTAAAACCAAAAAAAAAAAAAAAGTTTCAAAAATGGTTTCAGCTAAAGGTTGGACTTGCTTTCCTAGGCTTAGCCTAGTTAAGCACAGAGAGGTTCATCATCAAAAGGTTGGCCACCTATTCGTGGATTCTTTGGCCATAGCAACCCATGACTTGTACATAGATAAATGTAATGCAAGGTTACTCTAGGAAAATTTGGAGTTGGCGAGATCATATAAAACTGGGAAAATAAGGAAGAAGGTGGCATCTGAACTGATCATTAAAAGAATTGGATCTGAAACATAAAAATAAAGAAAGAAAGCCTTCTAGGCATAGACAACAACTTGTGTGAACACAATAATCTGGAGGTTACACATCAAATCCAAGGAACAGTTCAGTAGACATGCATTTTACCTGGAATACAGACTATGTAAAAAAATGTGTCCCATTCATTGTAAAAGAGCTTTATGTGAAATGAGACTGGAAAGGGAAATTGGAGCCAACTTGTGGAAGGTCCCATTTGGGAACTACTGAGTTTCAAGTGATATCAAGCCATTTAAGTTGGAGACATGAACCTCTCTATGAATCTCTATTGATATCTTTCCTAACCCAATCTATTCTTGATTATTTAACTCAACTTTTTTGTGACAACCATAGGAAATTCATCACTTCTAATTTAAACATGTACTCCTTGTATTATTTTGTTTTTTAAAGGCTTAGTCTCCCTATCTTGTCCAAGTTGGAGTGTAAGAAATATTTACAGGCCTAGTTCTATATTCAGGTTGCATAATAAGGGGCAAACTAGTCCAGGTTAAAAAAATATAACAGTTCAAAACCCCTGCACTGATCAGAGTGGGACCATATTAATGCCACACAGTGTGGACACCTTAATCAGATCAGCCCAGTAGAGCTCAGAAATTCCAACCTCAAAACATCCACTAGCCTCAGCTCTCTGGTATCTAGAATTATAGGAATGTCCTACCATTCCAGGCTAGTTCCTGTTTTAAAACAGACTAAACATAGCATAGGAATGAGAGGTTACCTACTATCCCTCCAAGATATCTATTTGACACTGTTTCTAGAAATAACATTCTTTAAGCTTCTATGGTGACAATAAAACTTATCTATTTCTTAATTTATCTTTTAGAGAACTCAGGGAGCATTGTTGGTTGCTATACAATTATTTCTGGATTGTAATCATCACTCAAAAATTGAGCTAAAATAAATCTATGTCAAAGGCTACTATTTCAACAGGAATTGCTAATAGTACTCCTAAAAAGAATAAGATATGGGTATTACTAATATAGTACATTGCATATAGCTGAGTTTTCAAATGCACAGGCCAAGGCGAGGTCTCAAGTCTTTAGCTCATATCCTTACATATCATTTCTTTTCCAGAGATTCCATTTGAAAAGAATGTAGGATATTTTGAAAGTTTCCAGTCTAGATCTTAGGAGGGCATGTTGGTTTGAGTCTTCACTCACTCTTAGGATGATTGACTTAGAGCTGTAAGGGAACTTAGAGATCATCTAGCTCAACTCCTTTATAGGACCATAGGATCTTAGATTTATAACTGAAAAGCACCTCAGAAATCATCTAATCCAATCCCCTTATTTTGTAGAAGAGGGAGCTAAGGCCCAGAGAGGTTAAGGGATTTTCCCAAGGTCACAGACCTACTAAGTGGCAAAGCTAGGATTTGAACATAGGTCCTTTCAATTCTAAAGCTGGCACATCGCCTCCATATAACACTGCCTACATGTAGACAGGAGGAAACTGAGCCCATAAGGGAGAAGTGACTTGATCAAGGTCACCCAGGTGGTAAATGGCATTGCCCAGCTTTGATTTGTTGTGTTCCAATTGCAAATCCAACTCTTTTTCTGCAGGCATATTGCTTCTTCTTCACTATCAACCTCAGCGCTCAGAAGAGAAAATCTCTCACCTTCATACTCCCAGAGTCCATTAAAAGCTTGGCCTGGGCCACCAGGCGGTGCTGGAGGGTCATTGAAGAAGGGATCATTCACTTCCATCAGCAGTCCTTGATCCCCTGGTTTGAAGTGGAAAGTAACAGGTCTGTGTGTCACTGGTAGATTGTCCCAGGTGGTGACAATGCTGTATTCCAACTTTCAGCATTAGACAGAACAAATACCACAGCATGAGTAAATGCAGTATATTTTTTGCTTCCCTAGTCTTGTTCAAATTAAGTGCAAATCAACATTTTCCCTAACCTCCCTAGAGCCATGATCACTCCATTAGTTTCTAAAGGATTCAGTTAATTGCAGTAAAGCTTTTTTTTTTTTTTTTGGTGCTACTCCTTCATGGCAAGAGTTGTATAAAACTATTTTTAGCCACTGTCTTTTCCTGGTTCTTCATTTGGTAATGGCATTAGATATACTGCAGATGTATTTAGTTCTTACCACATTATCTTGCATTTTTATTCATTCCACAAGGATCCTAGTGAATGCTTAAGAAAATGCCTAGCACTATGTAGGAGATAAAAAAAAAACATAGCAGACACAGTCTACAGAGTCAGAACAATAAGACATGACATGACCTATGAAACTGTAAAGTAGCAAAGCAAGTAAGCATAGGACTGAGTGGGGAAAAAATGAGTGGTAAAAATGAATAAATAATCACCTTTTAATAAGCACTGGTTATGTGCTAGGTCCTGAAGGTATAGAAATGAAATCACTGTCTTCAAGAAACTTACATTCTTAGAGTTTGCAATAGGTAAATAGATAAGAAAACATAAGATAATTAGGTGAAAGAGAGCATTGTCAACTAAGGAGATCAGGAAAGACTGTACAGAAGAAAGAATAGATGAGGAAAGCCTTTCAGGCCTGGACTTCCCAACCAAATTCCACAATAGTCAATCAATAAATATTTGTTAAGGACCAATGTGTCAAGCACATCATTTGTGCTAAGTGTTGAAGAAACAAGGAAAGACAAAAAACAGCGTCTGTACTCAAGGAACTTATGGTCCAATGGGACGACAACATATGAAGGACAATGTACAAGCAGGATGTACGCAGGATAAATTGGAGATAATTAACAGGGAGAAAGTACTAACATTAAGAGGATTGGGGAAAGGAAGGAAGCCAGGAGGAAGAAATGAGGAGAGAGTTCTAGGCATGGTAGCAGTCAGAAAAAAAGGCTGAGAGTTGGAAAATGGAGTATCTTCTGCAAGGAACAGCAAAGAGGCCAGTGTCATTGTTTCAAATACTGTGTGTGTGTGTGTGTGTGTGTGTGTGTGTGTGTGTGTGTGTGTGT